TGAGAGCTTTTTTCCATTCAGGGATCTAAACCCATTTACATTTATTATTATAATTGCTGTGTTTGATCTTGTTTTAAATACTTTGTAGTTTTCTCTTTATTCCAGTTTTTCTGTATAAAGATCATCTTTTTGTATAAAAAAAAGATGTATAAATATCGCCTTTGGAAGGCAGACAGTGTTTCTATTCCAGTAGTCATTACCTTGAAGCTTTTCAAAGACATTCTTTTTTTTTTTTTTCTTTGAGGAAGGTTAGCCCTGAGCTAACATCTGCCACCAATCTTCCTCTTTTTGCTGAGGAAGCCTGGCCCTGAGCTCACATCTGTGCTCATCTTCCTCTACTTTATATGTGGGACGCCTGCCACAGCATGGCTTGCCAAGCAGTGCCGTATCCGCACCCAGGATCTGAACCCGCGAACCCCAGGCCGCCAAAGCAGAACATGTGCACTTAGCTGCTGTGCCACTGGGCCAGCTCCCTCAAAGACATTCTTAAGCAGGATGCACATAAAGGAATAATTAAAATATACTTGTGAAAGTTATTAACAGGAAAATAATTCTTGGCTCTGTTGGGAAAGATGAGGCTGTGTTATTTCCATCTATTTCCTTTCTTCTCAGTTTTTTCGTTAATGTAGTTGGGCAGAGTTCAGGATCATGATTTTTTAAATCTGTGTTTTTCTCTTCTTCGCAGTTAATGATCTCTTTCAAAAGAGTAAGCACTTTTTGTAGCCTATTTTGTAACTCATTTAACCATTTGTAGGCTCCCATCAGCTGTGGCTGGTGGGAGCTGTGGGAGGTCTCCAGGCTCTGATTTCTTTCTCAGGCAAAGGGCAGCTCCCTGGGACAGGTTAGGGGCCGTGTCTGCCCTGCAGGGACAGGGACGTGGCTCTAGCATTTGGTTTTGCAGAGAAACCTTTGGCTGCCCCAATTTGTTTCCTTTGAAGTTAATCTGATTCTTTTCCTAGATGCTTGTGGATTCCCTTCTTGATCTTTCATATTTGGCATCTACTGGAACTTGTAGGACCTATTAATCATCCATGTTATCTTTGTTCTTTTTCTCTGTTCTGGTAAACAGCCTTGGGCTAGTCTTCTATGTCAACATCCGGATTTTTTTCATAATTTAATCCACAACTTACTGCCTTATTTTTCCTTTTTTTTTAAAAAAAACCAAACGGCTTTATTGAGATATGAATCATGTATCATACAGTTCACCTAAAGTATATAATCCAGTGGTTTTTAATGTATTCAAAGAGTTATACAATCATTGCCACAGTCAATTTTAGAACATTCCATTACTTAAAAAACAACCCTACAGGGGCTGGCCCCATGGCCGAGTGGTTGAGTTCATGCGCTCTGCTCTGGTGGCCCAGGGTTTCGCTGGTTCGGATCCTGAGCTTGGACCTAGCAGGCCATGCTGAGGCGGCGTCCCACAGAGCAGAACTAGAAGGACCTACAACTAGAATATACAACTATGTATATGTACTGGGGGGCTTTGGGGAAAAGGGAAAAAAAAGAATATTGGCAACAGATGTTAGCTCAGGTGACAATCTTTAATAAGAACAACCCCATAGGACCAGCCCATGGCCTAGTGGTTAAGTTCGGTGTGCTCTGCTTTGGCCGCCCCGGTTTAGTTCCCAGGAGTGGACGTACACCACTTGTCTGTGACCATGCTGTGGTGGTAGCCCACATACAAAAAGAGGAAGATTGGCAGCGGATATTAGCTCAGGGCGAATCTTCCTCAGCAAAAAAAAAAGCAACCATATACCCCTTAGCAGTTGCTCCCCATTTCCTTCCAACCCCTCCCACAAGCCTTAGGCTACTACTATTTTGTGTCTCTATAGGTTGTCGTATTTTGAACATTTTATGTAAATGGAATCATATGATAGGTGGTCTTTTATGACTGGCTTCTTTCACTTAGCGTGTTTTCAAGGTTCATCTTTGTGGTACACAGAACTTCATTTCTGTGGTATCAGAACTTCATTTCTTTATATTGCCAAGTACTAAGTAGTCTGTTGTGTGGATAGACCACATATTATTTACTCATTCATCAGTTGGTGGGCATTTGGGTAGTTCCCATTTTTGGGCTTTAGGAATAATGTTGCTGTGAACATTCACGTTCAAGTTTTTGTGTGGACATGTTTTTATTTCTCTGGGGTACATACCTAGGAGTGGAATTGCTAGGTTACATGGACACTTTATGTTTAACCTTTTGAGGACCTGCCAGACTGTTTTCCAAAGCAGCTGCACCATTTCACCTTTCCACCAGCTGTATATGAGAGTTCTGATTTCTCCACATCCTTGCCAACACTTGTTATTATCTGTCTTTTTGATTATACCACACAACTCTGGAACACAATTCAGCCAAGTTCTCTGCCATTTTGTAACAAAGATCGCCTTTTCTCTAGTGTCCAATGACATACACCTCATTTCCTTCTGAGGTCTCACCAGACATACCTTTAATAATCAGATTTTTAGCAACATTCTGTTCATGATGACATATGTATCCTGGAAGACGATGGAAGCTCTGTCTACTGTGCTTCACTTTCTTCTGAGCCTTCACCAGAATCACTTTTAATGTGCATATTTTTACGAAGTTTCTGGTGGTTGCCAGCAGTCCTTGGCATTCCTTGGCCTACAGCTGCATCACTCCAATCCCAGTCTCCATCATCGCATGGCTTCTTCCCTATGCGTCTCTCTGTGTCTTCACTGGCCTTCTTGAAACAATACCAGTCACCCTTAAATGACCTCATCTACTTGGTTACATCTGCAAAGATCCTATTTCCAAATAAGGTCACGTTCACAGGTACCAGTGGTTTAGAATTCATACCTTTTCTAGGGGGACACATTGAACTCACAACAGGTGGTTTGCATCTTTCTAGGAATTTTCCTTTTTCATTTAAGTTATCTAATTTGTTGGTATAAGGTTGTTAACGATAGTCCCTTACAATCCCTTTCATTTCTGTAAGCTTGGTAGCAGTGTCCCTCTTTGATTCCTAATTTTAATAATTTGAGCTTTCTTTTTTCTTGTCAGTCTAGCAAAAGATTTGTGAATTCTCTTGATCTTTTCAAAGCACCAACTTTTGATTTTGTTGCTTTTCTCTGTTTTCTGTTTTCTATTTCATTAATTTCTGCTCTAATCTTTATTATTTCCTTTTTCCTGCTTGCTTTGGGTTTAATTTGCTCTTCTTTTTCCAGTATCTTAAAGTGGAAGATTAGATTGTTGATTGGAAATCTTTTTCAATTATTATATTGAGGTCATATTGCTTTGTAACATTGTATAATTTCAGGTATACGTTGTTATATATCAGTTTCTTTTTTTTTTTTAAAGATTTTATTTTTTTCCTTTTTCTCCCCAAAGCCCCCTGGTACATAGCTGTATATTCTTCGTTGTGGGTCCTTCTAGTTGTGGCATGTGGGATGCTGCCTCAGCGTGGCTTGATGAGCAGTGCCATGTCCGTGCCCAGGATTTGAACCAACAAAACACTGGGTTGCCTGCAGCGGAGCGCATGAACTTAACCACTTGGCCATGGGGCCAGCCCCAGTATATATCAGTTTCTGTATGGACTGCATTGTGCTCACCACCAGTAGTCTAATTTTTATCACCATACATAAGTGCCCCTTTACTCCTTTTGCCCACCCCTTTACCCCGTTCTCCCCTGGTAACAACTAATCTGTTCTTTTTGTCCATGTGTTTATCTTCCACATATGAGTGAAATCATACAGTATTTGTCTTTCTCTGGCTTATTTTGCTTAACATCATACCCTCAAGATCCATCCATGTTGTTGCAAATGGGAGGACTTTGTCTTTTTTTATGGCTGAGTAGTATTCCATTGTATATTATACATACATACATGCTATATATACATACATACATATACGTATACATACATACATACTATACAAAGTGGTAATCTATTGTGTATGTATACCACATCTTCTTTATCCATTCATCAGTTGATGGACACCTAAGTTGCTTCCACATCTTGGCTATTGTGAATAATGCTGCAATGAACATAGGGCTGCATAAATCTCTTTGAATTGTTGGTTTCATGTTCTTTGGATATATACCCAGTAGTGAGATAGCTGGATCATATGGTATTTCTATTTATAATTTTTTGAGAAATGGAAATCTTTTTTGATACAGGCATTTACAGCTATAAATTTTCCTCTTTTATCTTTCCTTTTTAAGAGACAGCTTTGCCCCCAGGGCTTTGTGTAGAAAAAAGCGCTTAGAACAAAGGCAGAGATCAGCAGCTTTTTCTTAAGGGTACTTTATTGCTTCTTCCTCTCGTTGGGCATGTCCTGTGTGCTGGCTCTTGGCTTGAGCCTTGGAAGGACACTGGACAGTTCACTCATCTTCTGGGCTCCTTAGCAGAGGAGTGCTTTGGAGGGAGCTTGTCTCTCCTTGCCGTGTTCCAGGGGAGTGGTCCATAATGCTGCTCATAATGTGGGCTGTCAGGGGTAGTCATGGCTAATGAAGTGATGGCCCAGTGTGCTCTGGGCCTCTCTGGACCCTTACATGACACTTAAGTGTTCTCAACCAGTGTTCTCTCTCTGCTGATTTTTTTTAATGGCCTTTTTAAATGGTAATCTATGCTTTGTGTGTGTGTGTATCCTGAATGACACAAGTGAAATCTTACTTTGTAGCTTGCACAACAGTCCATACTCAGGAGTAGTATTTCCACAGCACAGAAAACAAAAGACACGTTAGAAAAGACACATAGTTAACATTTTTGTGTTTATTTTTATGGCATAAACTGGATGAATGGTTGATGGATGGGTAAAAGTCTATTCTGATAGCTTTTTCTAAATGAGGGGCCACCCCCTGCTCAGTGTCCCCAGAGGACCTGCTCTTCCCAGATGGGTTCTAAGCTCCAGGCTGGGAGGGCCTACATGGCCCAGCAAATGCTCCGTAAACCTGGTCCCCTTTGCCTGCCCTCCCCCCAACACAGGGCTGATCCCGGGGCCTGGCATGGGAGGTGTGATGACTATGGTGTCTCCCTAGGGCGTCTGTGAGGAAATGACTTACGAGGAAATTCAAGATCATTATCCACTGGAGTTTGCCCTGCGGGACCAGGACAAGTACCGGTACCGGTACCCGAAAGGAGAGGTAGGTGGGCTTTGGGGGCTTAGTCCCAGCCGCCTGCTGCCTTCCTAGGAAGACCACCTGTGGCTGAGGACCCTGTGGGGCTCTGCCGAGGCTATGTGGACAGCAGGAGGGCCTGGCCTCAGAGGTAGGCCAGTCCAGGTGTGTGTGTCATCTCCACTGCTTCCCGCCCGTGTGGCCCAGGCTGCAGCCCCCTCCTTGGGTGGTGGATGGACAGTGCTGCACAGGACTCCTAGCCCTGAGTCCCACTGGATCCCCATCACTCCCCATCTTTCCCTTCTTCCTTCCTGGAGGTGTCACAGCGTTATCCTGTCCTCCGCGGCTCCAGGCACCCCCCTAGCCCTAAATCCAGACCTAGGGAGACTTTACCCAGATGGGTCCTGGCCACTACAATCCACCTGCACTCATCACCTTTCGTTACACTGGCTCCTGCCTCTGTCCAGACCCCAGGTCACAAACAGGGTCACCTTTGACTTGGGTTATCTCCCACTTCCAGGAGGTGGTCTGGTGCTTGTCGCCAAATTAAAATACCCCCACAGACACACATGTGTGTACACACATACCCATACACACATAGAAGCCCCCCATCCAGATGCCTGGCTCACAGGCCCCTATGCTATACTGTCCTCAGGAACAGTATAGCTCTGGGTGACATTAATTATTCCCCACATCATATTGTGAGGCCGAGCTCAGATGTGGAACCAACCCAGATAACAGTAAAAAGAAACAAAACAGGGCCGGCCCGGTGGCGCAGCGGTTAAGTTCGCACGTTCCGCTTCTCAGCGGCCCAGGGTTTGCCGGTTTGAATCTCGGGTGTGGACATGGCACCGCTTGCCATGCCATGCTGTGGTAGGCGTCCCACGTATAAAGTAGAGGAAGATGGGCACAATGTTAGGGCCAGGCTTCCTCAGAAAAAAGAGGACTGGCAGTAGCTGGCTCAGGGCTAATCTTCCTCAAAAAAAAAAAAAGAAACAAAACAGGTGCCGCCCCATGGCCTAGTGGTTTAAGTTTGCGTGCTCTGCTTCCGTGGCCCAGGTTTTCACTGGTTCGGATCTTGCGCGTGGACATGGCACTGTTCATCAAGCCGTGCTGAGGCGGCGTCCCACATAGCACAAGCAGAAGGACCTAGAACTACAATATACGACTATGTACTGGGGGCTTTGGGGAAAAGAAGAAGGGGGGAAAAAAAAAGAAGATTGGCAACAGATGTTAGCTCAGGTGCCAGTCTTTTTAAAAACAAGAAAAGAAAAGAAACAAAACAGTTGGCTGTGCAAACTTTAGAATACAGGGGGAAAATTGGTAGGGAAAGTATAGTTACCAAAAGAACCAATCAAGGATTTCCCTAGGACTACCAGAGGCCAGCACAAATCCATATTGGTTTTGTTTCCAATCAAAACATGGGGCAAATTCAGCTCCAAGTACGTGAGGCTTTTTTTGTTTGGAAGGACCGCTCACTGTGTGAAAAGAGGGATGAAACCCCGCAGGGCTTGGTCTGTAGTGAAAATCTCCAAACCTGCCAAGTAGAGGGATTGGTCTAAGGGCCCCCACCGGATACCTCAGGACACCCAGGGTGGTACAGGACAGGCAGACTGCAAGGATCGTTCTTGCAACTTCCGGTGTTTCTGACAGGTCACCCTAGTTTCGGGGGCTTTTTGTGTACTGCGTCTGCTGTGGGCTGGGAGGGAGCAGTGCCTTTTCCACCACTCATCAGTTGCCAGCATGTGAATCCCAGCAGTCGAGGGTTCAGCGAAGGGCCATGTGGGTGGACATGGAGGTTGCCCTTTGGGATGGCAGCCTGAGGCCCAGCCCTGTCCTCTCAGTCCTACTGGGACCTGGCCCTGGAATGGGGACGTGATCCCTTTCCCAGGCTACCAATCCTCACCCCCTCAGCTTCCTTCTCAAATGGACATCTCACTGTCGCAGTCCTGTGGCGGTAAGCTGCCCAGCCCCAGACCCTCAGGAGCCAGGCTGGAGGACACTTAACCACAACCTCCCAGAGTGGTGAGGAGTTCCAGGAGTGAGAAGGTAGCCCACTACCCAGGATGTCTCCCTCTCTGCCCCCTGGAGCTGGGCCTGAGGGACCCTTTCCACTTGCCCTTGCAGTCCTATGAGGACCTGGTCCAGCGACTCGAGCCTGTCATCATGGAGCTGGAGAGGCAAGAGAACGTGCTGGTCATCTGCCACCAGGCTGTGATGCGCTGCCTCCTGGCTTACTTCCTTGACAAGGCCGCAGGTGCGGGCCCTGCCCCGGGGGAGGTGGGGTGTGTGTGAGGGGACGACTGTCACCTGGGCATCCCTGGCATGCCAGCCCTCCCCGTCTGTGTCCACAGAACAGCTTCCCTACCTCAAGTGTCCGCTGCACACGGTCCTGAAGCTGACCCCTGTGGCTTACGGTAAGGAAACTTCCTGTGCACTGACCTTGGCTGCCAGGGTCTGGCTGTCTGCATGCTTCCGTGACTTCCTGCAAACCCCTTATAAATTCTGTTAGGAGCTCACTCCTCCTCCCTCCACCCTACTATCTTTTCCACTTTGCTTTTTAATTTTTTTGGTTTTATTGGTTTTTTATTGGTTTTTTGGTTTTTGGCCACAGAAAGTCTCCCCAGTGATCCTTCCTTAACCATCACCCACCCACATGAGGGCTTTTCTTCTGGTTTTTCCGTCACCCCCATGGCCCCCAGTACCTGAAACTTAAAGTATTCTGGGTACAGGGTGGTTTGCCTCCCACCTCTGCCTTTGGCTACACCAGGGGAGCCCCAGGCAGCTTCCTCAGCTCCTGGGCTCGGCTCCTTCCCTTCAGCATAGGCTGTGGCACCCCCAGGTGGTTGTGCTCTGGGGAGAATGACTGTAAAGCTCAGTGGCAGCTGGTGTCAATCCGTGTGCTCACCCCTCGTCCCCCAATACACTGAGCGCCTGGCACAATGTTGATTCAGCCTTGTGTGTATGACAGGTTTGGGTGGGGGTGGTCTTGGGGCCCTGAAAACTGAGTGTAATGACCCCATGCGGAACCAGGCTTATTGCTCCTCAGACCACCCTCGGCCCCCGAGGTTGGCAGCATAAGTCCTCAGTGTGGCCTGGATGTCTGGGCTCCACTGAAGCTGCACCGGACAGTGGCACATAAGCAAGGGCCTGACAAGGTGCCTTGTCCTTCGTCAGGGGTCCCCCAGAGCTGCCTAAGGTGGGAGGACTAGGGTGAGGCTGAGGCGCCAGCTCTGTCCTGTGTGCCCCACGCCTCCTCCTAAGATAAGTTTCTACCCTCTGTGGCTCCAGCTGCCTTTGAGGAGGGAGAATGGATTTGCATCTTCCCTTGGCAGGTTGTAAAGTGGAGTCCATATTTCTGAACGTGGTGGCTGTGAACACGCACCGGGACAGGCCTCAGGTAGCTATGGGGTCACCACTGGGGTGGTGGGCATGTTCCCGGGTGTGTCTAGACATGGCATCTTCCAGGGCTAGGCCCAGCTGGGGTGCCTGTCAGAGTGAGCTTCAGTTCTCTGCTCAAGGGGGCTGCTGTCTTATCTGCAGGATGAGGTCAGGGCTCTGGGTGTGGCCCTGGGCTAGGTCTTCCCGAGGGTGCTGCCTAGGGGGTGGGAAAGTGCCTGGCGCTGGGCCATCAGGCTTGGAAGCCCCTGAGCCTGGGTGTGGCTGCCTCCCCAGCAGCCCCACCACAGAAGTCTGAGCCAAGGAGGGAGGTCCCAGCTGGGGAAGAGGCTGGAGGCCAGTAAGGGGGCAGATGGGGATTCGTCCATGCTCTCCAACCAGCCCAGGCCTCATGAGCACCCTTTCCAACTCTGGCACTTTTAAAAATTAAAACAGTATTCTGCTTTGTTGAGGAAAGGGCCATGCAGATGCTGAGGGAGTCTTGGGACTGGGCAGAATGTTTCCTGCAGAAGAGCAGTTCACCATCCTGTGTTCCCCCAGTGCCTTGTTTAAGATAGAAGCTCCCTGAAGTGTTGCCCAGAATCACTTTCTATGCCCATATGGGGTCCTTCTGCCATGCTGATTACCTCTCCCTCTCCCACTGAAGCCAAGGGCAGGATTGCCCCTTCTGAACCCTATTCCCAGAGTCTACTGCACCAAGAAGGTTCCTGGGGCTTCAGTCGTGCCTGCTGCCACCCACGATGAGACATGCCAGGCCCTGGGTCCCTGCCGAGGGTGCTGGCCTTGGGCTGCTCACCTGCAGCCCCTTGGCCTTGAGCCCTGCAGGCAGAGATATGTGGATGTGTCTTCCTGCTTTCTAAGGCTGCCTCTCACCAGGAGCAGCTTCTTCCCCATTTGTCCTGAGAGTCTGGTCCAGGCCCAGTCTGGCACCCACAGGTCACAGGAAAAGGCATGTCCTAACAGACATCCTTTGTGCTGAGGAGAACTCAGATGGCATTGGGTCCCCAGCATTGACTGACCAGGTGATGGTGAGAGAGACCCCTGGATCTAGCAGGTGTTGAGGGCTGACCCACCTGGTCCACAGGGCAAGAGCTGGCATGGTCGTGAAGTAGCTGGCAGGCCACCCTGCCCGCCTCTGGGTGGGTGCTTCTAAGAGGCAAACTACTGCTTGTTACAGATTCCGGGATGCTTCCCTTTCAGGTGGGCGGATCCCCAGGTGCTAGCTCATCCTTGGGGGCAGCCTGTGGTGGGAAAGAGGGCCTTCAGACACACTGTCCCCATTGAGATTGTACCTGCCCTTACAATTCTGGTGGCCAGTCCTGTGAACCCGGGGGTGTGACCATGGGTATCATGTCTCCCTCCCTGCAGATCTGGGCATGTCACGTTGCACAGGGCTGCAACCTGGATCATTGGTGACTTGTTCCATTGGGCCACCAGGATTGGGAGTCACACAGGACAGTCTCATAGAGCTGAGGGAAGACTCAGGCCTCCTGTTCCTTAGGCCTGAGTTGCCCTGAGCTCAGCAGGCTGTGGACAAACTGGGCTCTGCAGCAGGGCGGGGACCATCTGTGGCTGAGGGCTTCAGGAGAGCCAGGGGGCCAGTTGACCCAGACCTGAGGCAGGAGGTGGAGATGGCCTTACTCTGGGTGATGCCTGACCTGTCTGCAAGGAGCAAGCGGGAACCAGAGGCATCCTCCAACCCCCCCCCACCCCTTGTTCTTGTGTTCATCCACCCACCGTGTTCAAGAGACTCTTGACCACACTCTTAGGGAAGTTGAGGTCTGGAGTACTGCTACCAGGGCTCCTCAGGGTAAGAATGTGAGGCCAGATGGCCACAGTGATGGGGAAAGCACACAGCAGGTGTCCGTCTATTGTTGCCGTGGGGTGAATGTTGTGTGTTTTTATTTTTGTGCAGAATGTAGACATCTCGAGGCCTCCAGAGGAAGCCCTTGTCACAGTCCCTGCTCACCAGTGACTGCGTCTCGTCCACTGTGACCCCTGGCAGGCATTGATCTCTGCAGCTGAGGTCATTCCAGGACCCCCGTCTGTGTGACAGTCGCCACACAGGAACGCCCTCAAAGCCATGCATGGCTGGTGGCACCCAGAACCCCTGCCCCAGCCCAACCCGCTTCCGTGTTGAGTCAGCGACGGGGTCGTACATGGTGCCTGACCTGCTGCTAAAAATCCTTCAGCCAGACTGTGTCTGCCCCGGGCTGGTGAGAGGTTTCCTGTGCCTGCTGTCTCTGTTGCAGCTTTTAGGTGTTCTCTCTCACTGGTCGGGTTGGCTTTGTGAAGTGTGAAACCCTAAAATGTGAAACAGAAAGCACTTGCTGTGATGGGCCCACCGTGGCCAAGCTGCAGGGTGGACCTGGGGACCCCTGCAGGGGCTCTGCTCTCCTCTCTGTGACCTCTTCTAGGGCCAGAGGCAAGGTCTTCATGGGATCCTGAGCTGCTGCTGCCTCAGGTGAGAGGGAGGGCCCTTCCCATCCTGCCCTGCCAGGAACTGAAGAGCTTCCTCCAAGGCAGACGTGCCCACTGGCCAGGTGCTTGTGTCCCTGCCACCGCATTTGAGGACACTCATGAAAGCAGTGTGCTCACTTCAGCACGTTGTGATGCACAGAAGCATTCAGGGTGCGGAGCACGCGTGGTCACCCCTTCCCAGTTGTGTGTACACTGGAATCCTTGCGGGAGCTGGGGCCCAGGCCGGCCCTTCCCCACTGCTCTGGTGGTGAAACCACGTAAAGCCAGGGCGGTGTGTGAGTTACTCTTCCCAGTTCACACTCCCATGTGCTCAAGGGAGGGGCTGCCGTCCTGTCTGCCCCCTCTGGCTGTGCCGCCAGGCTACCTCCCACTCCTGCTGCCTGTGTCCACATGGGAGTGGACACCAGTGACAGGGACATGCATTTGCTGTGAATGATTCAGAAAAGCTTGTTGTGGTCCTGTACAGCCTGTCCTGTCGTTTGTGACTCCACGTGGGGGGCGGAGCAGGGGAAAGGTCAGAACCCAGAGGCTGCCCCTCTCCAAGGGAAGATTTTCCCAGCGACTTCACGGCTCTTTGTTCACATGCACAGGAGCCTGGTAAAAATGACCTTGGGGAGTCTGCCGTCTGTCACGCCCCTGAGTTCTTTTGGGCCCAGAGAGACAGCCTGGGCAGCGGGTTCCAGCTGTATTTTATAGCTGGGCAAATGGACTGGCCAGCAAGTCATGGGGTTAGGTGAGAAAGTGTCTGATTTGTAGTCAGATGCCCTGCTGCCCACAGGTGGTCCTTGGTGAAGTCAGGCCCCAGGATCCCAAGCCCATTTTGCACCCAGAATCTTTCCTGGGCTGTGCTTGGCAGAGCAGCCACGTTTCCCAGCCCCCCAGAGCTTTGCAGTCCACAGGTGCCACCTGTCCTTGAACGAAGTCATGTTCCTGGCCCCACTGGTATTCTCAGCTTCGTATGCTGCAGTACCTGTGGACAAACACAGGTGGAGAGGTGTCCAGGGTGGGGCTGGGGAAGGATCCTCCTTCTGGACTTGTTTCCTGTCAGACCCCCAAGCCCCTTAGACCCAAAGCCAGAGGAGCTTGCCACTGCCTTTGGGATATAGGGACTGCAGCCTTTGTTTCTGTGTTCCCCAGAATTTGGGTGACTTTTGGTTACCTGGGCACACTCCCTTGTTGGCCATAATGGGTCCCTTCAGTCAGTGGCATGGACATCTGGATGTCCGCACCTCTCTAGAACCTCAGGCCAGCGAGATCAGCAAGGCCTTTTCTCTCTATGTCCAGAAGTCAGTCAAGAGCTGCTTGACCTGAATGTGTTACAAGGATTGGGATAGGGCAGAGGGAAGTCTGGGGTCACATCCTGAGCTGGGGCGGCCCCTCCTTCCCTCTGCCCTGGAGTGGTCTCTGCATGGGCAGCAACCCACCTGGTGGGCTGCCAGGTTTTAGCTGGGATGGTCAATGTGCATGTTTCAGACCTTCTGCTCTCTCTGGAATGGGTAGTGTTGGATCTCAGCCACCCATCAGACTGTGTCCGGCATTCTTTGCAATAAATACTTAAAAAAATAATATTAATCTAAGGTTGTATCTTGTGGCCAGCTCTCCATTTGTCAAGTGTCCTTCCCGGCCAGTGCTGCAGAACCGCATGTTGGGGTCTCTCTCCTAGGTCTGTGTTGGGATCCTTGGTCCAGCTCCCACCCCTATGCCTACCCCTCTCTGGAGAGGAAACTGTCTTGCCCTGGAGTGAGCCCTGGGCCTGGCACACACGGGCAGGGGCAGGGCCCGAGTTTTCTCTGGGCTGACCTGGGAATCTGGGATGGAGCACCATTAAGGGGAGGATTCTGGGGTCCCTAGAAATATGGGTCCCAAATGTTGGCATCCTTGGGGAGGGGAACCAGGGGCTGGATGGAGGATGGAGGGGCTGCATGAGGCCTTGGGTAGGGGCATGTTGTGGCTAGTTATATGGTGTTTGCTTTGTCACCTACTTCCAGGGTAGGGAATATGGTGACAAGGGGCAGGGCTTTCCCTTTCCCATGCCTCAAAATTTCATTGGACTTTCTAAACGTCCTGCCCTGGGCCTGGTCAGGCTGTTGGGAGGGCGGGTTGTAGGTGTTCCACCATGCAGGTGTTCCTCCATGGACGTGGTGGGGCTGAGCATGGCTGGGTGCCCACCTGCGCCTCTCCCAGTGTGTCAGGGCAGAGTGCGGCTATGGCTGGGCGGCTTTCGGGTGGTTCAGGGTTGCCGACAGCTATGGCTCTGCCTTACCCAGCTGTGTCACGGTGGATGACAGAAACCCCTGGGCTTCTTCCCGGCTCAGAGGGCTATCAGCTACAACCATTTTCCTGGCAAGCGAGGTTGGGGGCTGAGTTCCTGGGGTGGACAGCTGACCTCCTTGGAGGCTTCAGTACTTTTCGAAGAAGGTGTTGAAGACTTAGCAAAGCAACAGCAGAAGGAATGAAATAGAACACTATCATAATTTTTCTTCAGTTCCGACGTTCTACCCCAGCCTGGCAAGAATGACTATACATTGTCATGTTGAAGAATTTTGTAGCGTTTTTGGTTGCTAGGAAACAACGGCCATCAGGTAGGATCAGAGGATATTTGGATAGAATAAAATGCTGTTGCAAAGACATAGGTTTCAGCAACATTTGAATTATATTTATAATATAATAATTATATACCATATGTTAATAAAATAAAATATAATCATCACCTGTGAAGAGGAGTATCACCATGTTTGGTTTAGACCAATCATTGTTCATCCCCGGGGGCTGGGCACAGTGTTGTCTGAACAAAGCTATTTTATTGAACGTGAAAAATGGCTTTGTGGTCGACAGACTAGTGCCTGCCACACCCTGGTTAGTGGGCACAGGGCTCTTTGGTAAGGGTTATGGGGAAAGTACCTGCGTGAGCCTGTGCCATTTCACGGGGCTCTCCTTAGAGGGCACCCACCCCACTTCCTTCAGCAGCCCTGGGTTTGTAGACCGATCTGATCTAGAAAATTGGTAAGAAATCCTCTCTGTTACAGTCAGGTCTCTCTTGGGCAGACCTCCAGCTCTTTCGTTATACACATCAAGTAGGACTCTGCCTGCCTCCCCTTCGATTTTGGTCCTGGCAGCCTGGTGATCCTGCGAAAGATCCTTCCAGGTCTGACCATTCAGATTACCTGTAAGTCCTCCTGCATGTCCTGGTCTCCACACCTCTCTCTCCTCGAGCAGCTCAAGGTCCTGGTGTCTGCGATGAAATCAAGGAGCCGTGTCAACTATAGTGTCTCCAGTCAGAATCCCTGACCCATGGAGAACAGTGACTGTGGTGCTTGTTATGGTTGGAATTGTGTTCCCTCCTGAAATTCATATACTGAAGACCTAACCCCTGGTCCCTCAGGATGTGAGCTTATATGGAAGAGGGTCCTTGCAGATGTAATAAGATGAGGTCATACGGGAGTATGGTGGGCCCCTAATCCCAAATTCTCTAGCGCCTTCAGAGAGATCATGGACCTGCTGACACCTTGGTTTCAAGCTTCCAGCCTCCAGAACTGGGAAACAATAAATTGTTGTTTGAGCCTCTCAGTGTACAGACCTTAGATACCACAGCCCCAGCAAATTGAAACTTTTCAAAGATGCTCCCATCAGCAGTGGACTTCCAAAGGCCTTGGTGAAGGGAGTATCTTCTGGGTCCTCTGCAGGCACTCAGGGAAAAGGTGAGTTATCCGTGATTACTTCAGCCCTACAGTTATTTGAGTGAATGAATGAGCCTTCCTGAGGCTTTGGAGTCTCCTCTATACCGGGGAGCTTTTGGCATCTCAGTTGCATCTGGCGGGACCCAGCTTTCATTTCAGCCAACCAAATAGACACGCAGAACAGCCCCAGTCACTTATGCCAGCAAGTGCATCTGTAGTGATAAATTCAGCCCAATGTAAACTTATATTCTAATCTCCTTGGTCTAGGACGTCAATCTTTTCCCACACATATTCTCCATATTTTGGCCAATGTAAAATAATAGAGTCTTAACAATTCTTTTGATATATAAGCCTTCCCCTCTGGGTTTGACTTTGTAATAAGGTCTCCAGACATGCTGGAATCCATCTCTAGTCTAAGGCACTGGAGATACTAAGGAGTTGGGGAAGAGGGGCATGAGGAGACTTGGCTCCCCTTGCAAAGTAACTCCCTCATGAGGTCTCAGAGGAGGACACCATGCTTCGGTGGGCAAGGGAGGTGCAGAAGGGCCAGGGGTTGGTGGTAATTTTGTTCCTCCAAGTTCTTTCATATATCTTCATTCCACTTACTTCATTACCACGTTAAGTACCTACCATGGGCTAAGCAGTGGGGATACAGCAGTCAGTACCACAGGTAAACTCCCTGCTGTCTCAGAGCTGACATTCTTGTTTGTGGTGGGAGACAGAGTAAAGAAATAAAGATGTAGTATATTAGAGGGTGCTGGGACAGAGGGGAGGGCCTCACAGAGGGGCGACCAAAGGCCTGGATGAAGCCTGGAGCATCCACAGCCAGTGCAATACTGTGAAGGCAGGCTGTGCCCAGAGAGTCCCAGGGACATAGAGGAAGCGAGGGGTGGGGGTGGGGGAGCTGCAGAAGAGAGAATGAGGTGAAAGAAGACAAGGTCAGAGGTCATGGGGTACAGATGATGTGGGGCCTTGGAAATGAGAGGCCCATGAAGGGCTTTGAGCTGAGGGACTTGATCTGATGAACATTTTTAAAGGATCCCTCTGGCTGCTGCTGAATCAAGAATAGACTAATGGGGCAGAGTGGAAGCCAGGAGCCCTGTCTGGAGGCTGCTGTGATAGCCCAGGTGAGAGACCAAGATGCTTGTGATGGAGCTGTTGAGAAGCAGTCAGATTCTACTTCAATTTTGAAGGTAGAGCCAGGATTGACTGATGGTTTGGATGAAGGCACATGAGAAAGACAAGATGCCAAGGGATGGGGTTACCACTATGGACATGTGGAAGCCTGCGTGGGAAGCTAGTGGCGCTAGGGGGTCAGCAGCTCAGTTGAAGGCACATTAAGATGAAATGCCAGTTGGATCCAAGTGAAGATGTTGACAGAACAGTTGCATCTTCGAATCTGGAGTTCAAGAGCCCTAGGCTAGAGATAAGAAATGGCATCATCAGTGGGTAGATGACTTTGAGAGTTATGACACTGGATGGAAACTCCAAGGCGGGTGTAAATAGAGAAGAAATGGGGCTTAAGGACTGAGCCCTGGGGACCCCACATTAAGAGCTTGAGATGAGGAAGAGCCAGCAAAGGAGTGTGAGAAGGAGCAGTGTGGGGAGTGTGGGAGGAGGAGGGAGTGGCCCACTGTGTCAGATGACGCAGATGAGTGGTCAAGGAAGTTAAGGACTGAGAACTGCCCACTGGATGTAGGCATGTGGAGTCCTGTTTCCGGGGTCTCTGTGTGCACCCTCTGCTCTGTCCTGATCAGAGCCTAACTTGCACATAACGGCTTAGGGAGGCTGTGAATTCAACCCATGTTTAGTCTGAAACCCTGAGAATCTACCTTTGGCTTTGATGCTGGGCTCTCTCAGCTCCACGGCTGCAACAATAGGAGACTCCTTTGCAAAGTTGAGAAATTTCTGTTTGTGCCTTGACATGAGTAGCTAAGAACCTGACCCTGTCATTCTTTCTTGAAGCTGTTTGGTGCTGTTAGAAGCAACCACCTAACGACCAGTCCTTCACTTCTCAGGCCCTTCATGCTATTCTAAGGTAATGGGCCTTGGCCTCAATGAGCGCATCACCTGAGTGGCCACCTGTGGTGTCTTGTTTTCTGATGCCACATCAGACACTAAATTGCGTGGGGTTTTCCACACCAACGATCAGTTCTCTGATTCTCCCACGCCAACTGGGGGTCCAACAATTCAATTCAGTTCTGACACTAACTCCAGAGTTAGTGCAGACACCACAGGTTAAGGGCTCAGTCCCTTAAGTCCCACAAGACTGCCCCCGCTTCAGGTGCCATTCCCAAGTCCTGAGAGGGCCACCTGTAACTTCTGACCAGCCGGCTATAGATGGGGGTCCCTACAACACCCTGCTCAGGTTTGATAATTCACTAGAACCACTGACAGAACTCAGGAAAACACTGTATTTCCATTTCCCAGTCTATATAAAGGTTGCAACTCAGGAACAGCCGAATGGAAGAGAGGCCCAGGGCGAGGTGCGCAGGGCGGGGAAGGGTGGTGCGGAGCTTCCAAGCTGCCCAAGGCTGCCGCCTTCCGGGTTCACCACCGTGCTCACCAACCCACGAGCTCCCTGAGGGCCACCGGTTCCGGGGGTTTTATGGCGGTTTCATTACGTAGGCATGCATGATTGATTAAATCCTTGGCCTATGGTGATAGATGTCAATCTCCACCCTCCATGCCCTCAGGTTGGGGGTGGGGCCGAAAGTACCAACCCTCTATTTTTTTTTTTTTAGATTGGCACCTGAGCTAACATCTGTTGCCAATCTTCTCTTTTCTTCTCTCCAAAGCCCCCCAGTACATAGTTGTGTATTGTAATTGTGGGTCCTCCTAGTTGTGGCATGTGGGACGCCACCTCAGCATGGCCTGATGAGCGGTGCC